GGGCGAAAAGAGGATTCTAAAAGCAGCAAGAGAAAAGAAGCAGAAGCTCCAATTCATCTGACAACAGACTTCTCAATGGAAACCATACAGGTCAGGAAAGAGTAGGATGACATTTTCAAAATATTTAAGTAAAAAACCCTTTCATCCAAAAATGCTGCATCCAGCAAAGCTATCCTCAAAATATGAAGAAATAAAGTATTTCCAAGATGAACAAAATCTGAGAGTTTACCACCACCAGAAATGCCAGAAGGAGTTTTTCAGTCTGAAAGAAGAAAACACTCATGTGAAAAAAGATAATGTTTGAAGGCACAAAACTCACTGGTAACATTAAGTAACAAGACAAACTCAGAAAACTCTAATACTATAATCGTGGGTAATCCACTCATAACTCTAGAAATCTATTGAAATCTATTGAAAACAACATAATTGTTTCAATAGAAACAATAATTGAAAATACCTGTAGTGACTTGTGAAGATACAAGCAATATAATAATATGTAAAATGAGTTGATATAAAGTCAAATGTGGAGGGGATGCAGTTATTAAATGTAGGCTTTTAAATCTTTTTCTTTGTTCCTATTTTTGCTTTGTGATCTAAGATAAATAATCATCTCTTTAAAAATAACTTAAATGTATAATATATTTTTGGTAATTCTTGTGGTAACCACTATGCAAAATCCTATAATAGACTCACTAAAAATAAAAATTAATTATTTAAAACATAACAGCGTAAAAGAAAGGAAGAGAGGAATTACAAAACAACCAGAAAGCAAGCAACATAATGGCAGTAGTAAGTCTTTATTTATCAGTAACGACACTGAATGTAAATGGATTCAACTCTCCAATTTTAAGACATAGAATCTGTCTGAACAGATTTTAATCTGGCTGAACAGATTAAAAAAACAAAGATCCAACTACACACTGCCTACAAGAAACCGACTTCACCTATAAAGACACACACAGACTGAAGATGAAGTGATGGAAAATGATATTCCATACAACTCAAAACAAAGAAGAGCAGAAGTAACAATACTGACATCAGATAAAATAGACTACAAATCAAAGACTGCAAAAGAGACAAAGAAGGTCACTCTATAATGATAAAGGGGTCAATCAGTAAGAGGATATAGTAACTAGAAATATCTATGCACCCAACACAGGAGCTCCAAAGTACATAAATCAAACATTAATAGATATAAAGGGAGAGATATACCGCAATACAATAATGGTAGGGGACTTAGGAGGCTGAGGCAGGAGAATTGCTTGCATCCAGGAGGCAGAGGTTGTAGTGAGCCAAGATCACACCATTGCATTCTAGCCTGGGCAACAGAGTGAAACTCTGTCACAAAAAAATGATAATAATAATAATAAAAGAAATACAAATAATTAGACTTATGAACAACTATATGCCAACAAATTTGAAAACCTATAGGAAACAGATAAATTCCTGGACACATGCAGCCTACCAAAGCTGAACAATGGAGAAATAGAAAACTCCAATGAAACAATGTTGAATAATGAGATTGAGGCAGTAATAAAAAGTTTATCATCAAAGAAAAGCCCAGGACTGGATGGATTCACTGCTGAATTCTACCAAACATTAAATAAAAACAAATACCAATTCCCCTCAAACTATTAAAAAAACATTGATAAGGAAGGAATACTTCCAAACTCGTACTACAAGGCCAGCAGTACCCTAATACAAAAACCAGATAGGAACACAACAAAAAAAAAGAGAATACTACAGGCCAGTATGTGTGATGAACATAGATGCAGAAATCCTCAACAAAATATTAGCAAACCAAATTCAAAAACGCAATAAAAAGATCATTCGCTATGATCAAGTGGGATTCATCCCAAGGATTCAAGGATGGTTCAATATATGCAAATCAATAAATGTGATACATCACATTAACAGAGCCAAGAAGAACAATCATATGATCATTTAAATATATGCTGAAAAGTATTTGATAAATTCAACATCCCTTTATGATTAAAAAAAAAAACTCAACGAACTGGTTATAGAAGAAGCATACCTCACGATAAAAGCCATATATGACAAACCCACAGCTAACATTGTACCAGATGGAAAAAATTGAAAGCCTTTCCTCTAAAATCTGGAGCAAGACAAGAATGCACATTTTACTACTGCCATTCAACATAATACTTGAAGCCCTGGCCAGAGCAAATGAGCCATTTCTCTCAAGCAAGAGAAAGAAATAAAGGGCATACAAAATAGAAAGGAAGAAGTCAAATTATCTCTGTTCACAGATGATGCAATCTCACACTAGAAAAATACAAAGACTCCATCCAAAAACATCTAGAACTGATAAATCAATTTAGTTCAGTTGCACATTACAAAATTGACATACAAAAATTAATTTATGCCAAACAGCAAACAACAGAACACTTCACATAATCTGAAAAAATTTAAGAAAGCCATCTCATTTACAATAGCTACAAAAAAAAAATACAAGACATCTAGGAATATATTTAACCAAAGAAGTGAAAGATCTATGTAAGGGAAACTATAAAATATTGATGAAAAAATTGAAGAAGACACCAAAAAATGGAAAGCTATTTCATTTCATGCTCATTGATAGAAAAATTAATATTATGAAAATGACAATACTACCAGAAGCGATTTACATATTCATTGAAATCTGTGTCAAAATACCAAGGACATTCTTTACAGACAATTTTTACATCGAACCATAAAAGACCCTAAATAGACAAACCATTCCTGAGCAAAAAGAATAAAGCTGGAGGCATCACACTACCTGACTTCAAAATATACTATAAAGTCATAGTAACCAAAATAGCATGGTACTGGCATAAAAACATACACATAGACCAATGGAACAGAATAGAGAACTCAGATGTCAATCCATGTACTTACAGTTAACTCATTTTTGACAAAGGTGCTAGGAATATATAATGGTGAAAAGACAGTTTCTTCAATAAATGGTGCTAGGAAAACTGGATAACCATATGCAGAAGAATGAAACTAAACCCCTATCTCTCACCATAAGCAAAAATCAAATCAAAATGGACTAGAGACTTAAATCCAAGACCTGAAACTATGAAATTACTAGAAAAAAAAAATCACTGGGGAAATGCTCTAGGAAATTGGTTTGGGCAAAGATTTTTTTGTGTAAGACCTCAAAAGCACAGGCAACAAAAGCAAAAATAGACAAATAGAAAAAAAAAAAAAAAACTTCTGCACAGCAAAGAAAGCAATGAACAAAGTGAAGAGACAACCCACAGAATGGGAGGATATATTTGCAAACTCTCCATCCTACAGATGATTAATAACCAGAATATACAAGGAGCTCAAACAAAAAACAAAAAAAGAAAAAAAATCCAATTTAAAAATGGGCAAAAGATCTGAACAGACATTTCTCAAAAGAAGACATACAAATGGCCAACAGAGATACAATAAAATGCTCAACCTCACTAATCATCAGAGGAATGCAAGTCCAAATCACAATGAGATATCATCTCACTCCAGTCAAAATGGCTTTTATCCAAAATATAGAAAATAACAGATGATAGCAAGGATGTGGAGAAAGGGGAACCCTCATAAACTGTTGGTAAGACTGTAAATTATGAATCTGCAATTCTACTGCTGGGTGTGTATCCAAAAGAAAGGAAATCAATATATCGAAGAGACGTCTGCATTTCCATGTTTATTGCAATACTATTCACAATAGCCAAGATATGGAATCAACTCAAGTGCCCATCAATGGATGAAGGAATAAAGAAAGTATGGTATATGTACACAATGGAATATTATTTGACCATAAAAAGAATGAAACCCTGTCATTTACAGCAACATGAATGAAACTGGAGGACATTATATCAAGTGAAGTAAGTCAGGCACAGACAGATAGATACCACATGTTCTCATGTGTACATGGGAGCTAAAAAAAAAGGTGAGCTCTTAGAAGTCAAGAGTAGAATTTTGGTATTAGGGTCTGGGAAAGGTAGGGGCAAAGGGGGATAGGGAGACATTGGTTAACATACAAAATTACAGCTGGAGAGAAGGAATAAATTCTGTTCTACAGCACTGTAGGGTATAAATACATTTAACAATGATCGATTGCATATTTTCAATAAACAAAATTCAAGTATTTGAATGCTTGCAACACAAAGGAATGATAAATGTTTTCCGTGATGGAAACACTAATTACCCTGATTTGGTCATTATACATTGTATACATGTTTTGAAATATCACTTTGTATCCTATAAATACATATAATTATTATGTGTCAACTAAAAATAAAAGGGGAAAAATGCAAATGTAAATCCAAATCCAACAAAAATAATAAAGCTTTTTATAAATAATCTCCTCTGCTCATAGCACCCCTTTGCTACCCACCCCAAGGCTAAAGGGTAGTCTAAAATCTAGGAGTTCTAGAAGTATGCTCTCCAGATCAGCCTCAGCATCATTTGGGAACTTGTTAGAAATGCTGATTCTCAGGTTCCACCCCAGACTTACTGAATCAGAAACTCTGGGGGTGGGGCCCAGCAAGGTTTGGACCAGCTCTGGTCTAAAACTCTGTCTAGTCAAGGTGATGCAAGCCTTGTCTGTATAAGCCCATCACAGTCCCTAGTTGCACACTGTATCACTCCCTCCAACATCCTCTAGCCCAGTCCCCTAACCCAGCTAAACATTTCCCCGCTAGCCAAGCATCCCTGCACTCTGTGTCTGGTGTGTCTTTACTCTCCATGCCCACTGGTTCAACATCTTTGCAACCCAACTCATATGCTCCAGGACAATGGCTCCCAAACCCACTGTGTCCGAATACAAGGGAACTTTTGAAAACTGTGAACATCCCAGGTCCCAATTGGTACTCAAGGAGTAAGCACCTCATAGTCTTGATCATCTCTGTATCCCAGTACCATGCACCACATCTGTGATAGTAACTATGTGCTGGGTGGTGGACACACAGCACACACAGCTAGAGGTGGCTGAGCCCTGTGGGTGAGAGCCCTACCTCTGGCACCTGTAGGCAATGGATGAGAGTGTTTATCACCACAGAGGGCTCAGCGGTGGCCTTCTCTGTGATTATCACTGAAGCCAGAGTCTTCCGCATGTCAAGGCCTGCCCCTGTCGTGTCCGTCTTTGCTGAGTCACTGTCAGTGATGTCCAGGAGGTTCATGACTTGTTGAAAGGTTCCTATGAAAACAAAGATCACCCAGGTGCAGTGTGGAAATGACCATGACAGGAGGTGCCCTTGTACCCCTGGTCTTGCCTCCACCCAAACAGCTCCAGCTTCATGTGTGGTGTGATGTCCACTGTGTGGATGGAGAAAGGGAGACCGAGGCTGGGGCTGCAGTCAAAAAGTTAGTGGCTGGGATGGGGCAGGAGAGCGGAGAGGTGGGTGACATTCTTACCACTGTCATCTGGTTCAAGAGGCCTCAGGCCCTCTGCTTCCTCTGACACCCCTCACTCGAGTCTACTGCTGCTTCTGTAATGGCTTCCATCATCTCTTCCTGAAACTCTTTTGAGATCAACAGAATTTGTAAAATACGGGGTGTGGCAACACACCCTATAATGACCCCAATGATCCATACGCTTCCATAAAGCCATCCCCTTGAGGGTGTGTGGGTGGAACCTGTGACTTCCTTCTAACAAATAGAATATGGCAAAGGTGATGGGTGACCCTCTCTTGAGTGGATTTCATCATATAGCAAAGATGGTGGGATGTCACTCCCATGATCACATTACACCATATGAGATTCCTTCTTAGCAGACTGAAAGAAAACATTCTACTGGCCTTGAAAAGTAAACAGCCAGCTGGGTGTGGTGGCTCACTCTTGTAATCCAACACTCTGGAAGGCCTAGGCGGACAGATCACCTGAGGTCAGGAGTTCGAGACCAACCGGGCCAACAATGATGAAACCCCATCTCTACTAAAAATACCAAAAATTAGCTGGGCATAGGGGTGGGCACCTGTAATCCCAGCTACTCAGGAGGCTGAGACAGGATAACTGCTTGAACCAGGGAGGCAGAAGTTGCAGTGAGCCGCGATCACACAATTGCACTCCAGCCTGGGTAACAAGAGTGAAATTTCATCTCGAAAAAAAAAAAGAAAGAAAAGAAGGAAGGAAGGAAGGAAGGGAGGGAGGGAGGGAGGGAGGGAGGGAGGGAGGGAGGAAGAAAGAAAAGAAAGAAAGAGAGAGTAAAGAAGAAAGAAAAAGAAAGAAAGAAAGAAAGAAAGAAAAAAGAAGGAAAGAAAGAAAGAAAGAAAGAAAGAAAGAAAGAAAGAAAGAAAGAAAGAAGAAAACAGCCATGATGGAGGACTCAAGATGGTGCTGTGAGAATAACCCAGGATTGAGGCTCTCCCTGGATGCACAGAGAAGGTGAGTCAGGGACACATTTCCAGACGGACCTTTGTTGCCCACAGAATGGGGAAATTCCCAGATATAAAACAAACGCGGGACGCCAGCCAGAGATCTTGACTGGTGTAGCCAGCAGCCGGTATGGCTGCGGCCCGCGCCGGAGCACAGAGGCGCTCCACAGAGGTCCGCACAAAAGCGCACTGTGCCGGGTGCCCTGTTGAACTGGCAACCTGAGACCTGAGAGGGCTAAACTTGAGACTGAACGGGACTTGAACAGTGAGCCAGCCTAGGACAAAGCATTAGGGGTAGCCCAGTGCGACAAACAAAACGGCGAGTCCAAATGCTTGCTGTTAGCAGGTTACCTTAAAGCGCAGCTCTGTGCAGGAAAGGCATCCGCCATTACTGAGGCAACCAGCCCCTACTGAGGTACACGCCCATTGCTGACGCAGCCTGCCGTTGCTGAGGCAACCCGGTACAACAGAGAGACTCCGCCGCAGGGCAGAGCCCATGGCAGCAGGGCGGAGACCACAGCAGAAGGGCAGAGCCTGCAGACACAGGTTGAACCTCACACCAGCAGGGCGGAGCCTCGGCAGGACAAGTCTGCCTCCTAGCTGGGCAGGACAACCCGGCAGACACTCAAAAATAAAGCCCCAACCCCTTCAGAAAGAGCAGCTGAGAAAAAAAGGGCTTTTTTATGAGTTCTGTTGCAGCAGAATTAAACATAGCAGCCTAACAGCCCTGAATGAACATCAGAGCTCACAGCTCAGCACTTGAGCTCCTATAAAGTACAGACTGTCTCCTCAAGCAGCTCCCTGACCCCTCTATATCCAAAAGACTGACATTTGGCAGGCATCACTCTGGGACAAAGATAGCAGATAAAGAAACTGGTAGCATCCCTACTGTTCCACAGCTGCTATAGGTGTACCCCAGACAAGCAGGGCCTGGATGGACCTCTGCAGTCGTACAGCAAAGGGGCTAGACTGGTAGAAGGAAAACCAAGTAACAGAAATACTTCATCATCAACAATCTGGGTGTCCACCCAGAGACCCAATCAAAAAGTCAGCAACTACACAGACGACAGGTGGATAAATCCACAAAGATGGGAAGAAACCAGTGCAAAAAGGAGGAAAACACCCGAAACCAGAACACCTCGCCTCCTAGAAAGGACCAAAACTCCTCACCAGCAAGGGAACAAAGCTGGATGGAGAATGACTGTGATGAAATGATGGAATTAGACTTCAGAAGGTGGATAATGAGAAGCTTTTGTGAGCTAAAAGAACATGTTTCAAATCAATGCAAAGAAACTAAGAACCTTGAAAAAAGATTCGAGGAAATGATAACAAGAATGGATAACTTAGAGAGGAATATGAATGAATTAAAGGAGATGAAAAACACAATACGAGAACGTCGCAAAGCATGCACAAGTGTCAATAGCCGAATTGACCAAGCAGAAGAAAGAATCTCAGAAGTCGAAGATCAACTCAATGAAATAAAACGAGAAACCAAGATCAGAGAAAAAAGCGCAAAAAGGAATGAACAAAGTCTCCAAGAAATGTGGAACTATGTGAAGAGACCTAACCTACGTTTGATAGACGTACTAGAATGTGACGAAGAGAATGAATCCAAGTTGGAAAATACTCTTCAGGACATTATCCAGAAAATTTCCTCCACCTAGCAAGACAGGCCAACACTCAATTGCAGGAAATACAGAGAACACCACAAAGATATTCTGCAAGAAGAGCAACCCCAAGGCACATAATCGTCAGATTCAACAAGGTTGAAATAAAGGAGAAAATACTAACGGCAGCCAGAAAGAAAGGTCCGGTCACCCACAAAGGGAAGCCCATCAGACTCACAGCAGATCTCTCGACAGAAACTCTGCAAGCCAGGAGAGAGTGGGGGCCAATATTCAACATCCTTAAAGAAAAGAACTTTCAACCCAGAATTTCATATCCAGCCAAACTGAGCTTCAGAAGTGAAGGAAAAATAAAATCCTTTGTGAACAAGCAAGTACTCAGAGATTTTGTCACCACAAGGCCTGCTTTACAAGAGCTCCTAAAAGAGGCACTACACATAGAAAGGAACAACCAGTACCAACCATTCCAAAATCACACTAATTGCTAAAGAGCATCAATATAATGAAGAATCTACAACAACTAATGGGGAAAACAGCCAGCTAGCATCAAAATGGCAGTATCAAATTCACACATAACAATATTAACCCTAAATGTAAATGGACTAAATGCACCAATCAAAAGACACAGACTGGCAAATTGGATAAAAATCCAAAACCCATCAGTGTGCTGTATCCAGGAAACCCATCTCACATGCAAGGATACACAAAGGCTCAAAATAAAGGGATGGAGGAAGATTTACCAAGCAAATGGAGAGCAAAAAAAAGCAGGAGTTGCAATTCTCATCTCTGATAAAATAGACTTTAAAGCAACAAAGATCAAAAGAGACAAAGAAGGCCATTACATAATGTTAAAAGGATCGATACAACAAGAAGAGCTAACGATCCTAAACATATATGGACCCAACAAAGGAGCACCCAGATACATAAGGCAAGTTCTTAAAGACTTACAAAGAGACTTAGACTCCCACACAATTATAGTGGGAGACTTTAACACCCCACTGTCAATATTAGACAGATCAAACAGACAGAAAATCAACAAGGATATCCAGGGCTTGAACTCAGACCTGGAGCAAGCAAACCTGATAGACATCTACAGAACTCTCCACCCCAAATCCACAGAATATACATTCTTCTCAGCACCACATCACACCTACTCTAAAATTGACCACATAATTGGAAGTAAAGCACTGCTCAGCAAATGCAAAACAACTGAAATCATAACAAACAGCCTCTCAGACCATAATGCAATCAAGTTAGAACTCAGAATTCAGAAACCAACTCAGAACCGCACAGCTTCATGGAAACTGAACAACTGGCTCTTGAATGTTGACTGGGTAAACAATGAAATGAAGACAGAAATAAAGAAGTTCTTCGAAACCAATGAGAATGAAGACACAACATGCCAGAACCTCTGGGACACATTTAAAGCAGTCTCTAGAGGAAAGTATATAGCAATAAGTGCCCATATGAGAAGAATGGAGAGATCTAAAATTGACACCCTATCGTCAAAATTGAAAGAGCTAGAGGAGCAAGATCAAAAAAAAAAACTCAAAACCCAGCAGAAGACAAGAAATAACTAAGATCAGAGCTGAACTGAAGGAGATTGAAACACGAAAAACCCTCCAAAAAATCAATAAATCCAAGAGCTGGTTTTTTGAAAAGATCAACAAAATAGACAGACCACTAGCTAGATTGATTAAAAAGAAAAGAGAGAACAACCAAATAGATGCAATAAAGAATGATAAAGGGGAAATCACCACAGATTCCACAGAAATTCAAACCATCATCAGAGAATATTACAAACAACTCTATGCACATAAGCTAGCAAACCAGGAAGAAATGGATAAATTCCTGGACTCCTGTGTCCTCCCAAGCCTAAACCAGGAGGAAGCTGAAACTATGAATAGACCAATAACAAGGTCAGAAGTCGAGGCAGCAATTAAGAGCCTACCACTCAAAAAAAGCCCAGGTCCAGACGGGTTCACAGCCGAATTCTACCAGACACACAAAGAGGAGCTGGTACCATTCCTTCTAAAACTACTTCAAACAATCCAAAAAGAGGGAATCCTTCCCAAATCATTTTACGAGACCAACATCATCCTGATACCAAAACCCAGCAGAGACCCAACAAGAAAAGAAAACTTCAGGCCAATATCCATGATGAACATAGATGCAAAAATCTTCAATAAAATATTGGCAAGCCGATTGCAACAGCAAATCAAAAAACTTATTCATCATGATCAAGTAGGATTCATCCCAGGGATGCAAGGCTGGTTCAGCATACGCAAGTCTATCAATGTAATTCACCACATAAACAGAACCAAAAACAAAAACCACATGATTATCTCAATTGACGCAGAGAAGGCATTTGACAAAATTCAACAGCCCTTTATGCTAAAAACCCTCAATAAACTCGGTATCGATGGAACGTATCTCAAAGTAATAAAAGCTATTTATGACAAACCAACAGCCAATATCATACTGAATGGGCAAAAACTGGAAGCATTCCCTTTGAAATCCGGCACTAGACAAGGATGCCCTCTTTCACCACTCCTATTCAATATAGTACTGGAAGTTCTAGCCAGAGCAATCAGGCAAGAAAAAGAAATAAAGGGTATTCAAATAGGAAAGGAGGAAGCCAAATTGTCTCTATTTGCAGACGACATGATAGTATACCTAGAAGACCCCATCGCCTCAGCCCAAAAACTCCTGAAACTGATGAGCAACTTCAGCAAAGTCTCAGGATATAAAATCAATGTGCAAAAATCACAAGCCTTCCTCTACACCAATAACAGACTTAAAGAAAGCCAAATCAAGAACGAACTACCATTCACAATTGCTACAAAAAGAATAAAATACCTTGGAATACAACTCACAAGGAATGTAAGGGACCTCTTCAAGGAAAACTACAAACCACTGCTCAACAAAGTCAGAGAGGACACAAACAGATGGAGAAACATTCCATGTTCATGGTTAGGAAGAATTAATATCGTGAAAATGGCTATACTGCCCAAAGTAATTTACAGAATCAATGCTATCCCCATCAAGCTACCATTGACTTTCTTCACAGAACTGGAGAAAACCACCACGAACTTCATATGGAACCAAAAGACAGCCTGCATAGCCAAGTCAATTCTAAGCAAAAAGAACACAGCGGGGGGCATCACACTACCGGATTTCAAACTATACTACAAGGCTACAGTAATCAAAACAACATGGTACTGGTACCAAAACAGAGATATATACCAATGGAACAGAACAGAGGCAACAGAGGCAACACAACATATCTACAACCATACAATCTTTGATCAACCTGTCAAAAACAAGCATTGGGGAAAGGATTCCCTGTTCAACAAATGGTGTTGGGAAAACTGGCCAGCCATGTGCAGAAAGCAGAAACTGGACCCCTTCCTGACACCTTATACTAAAATTAACTCCAGATGGATTAAAACTTAAACATAAGACCTGGCACAATAAAAACCCTAGAAGGAAATCTAGGTAAAACTATCAAGGACATAGGAGTAGGCAAGGACTTCATGAACAAAACACCAAAAGCATTGGCAACAAAAGCCAAAATAGACAAATGGGACCTAATGAAACTCCACAGCTTCTGCACGGCAAAAGAAACAGTCAATAGAGTGAATCGACAACCAACAGAATGGGAAAAAATTTTTGCAGTTTACCCATCTGACAAAGGGCTGATATCCAGAATTTACAAAGAACCCAAACAGATTTACAGGAAAAAAACAAACAAGCCCATTCAAAAGTGGGCAAAGGATATGAACAGACACTTTACGAAAGAAGACATATATGAGGCCAACAATCATATGAAGAAATGCTCATCGTCACTGGTCATCAGAGAGATGCAAATCAAAACCACATTGAGATACCATCTCACGCCAGTTAGAATGGCGATCATTAAAAAATCTGGAGACAACAGATGCTGGAGAGGATGTGGAGAAAAAGGAACACTTTTACACTGTTGGTGGGAGTGTAAATTAGTTCAACCACTGTGGAAGACAGTGTGGCGATTCCTCAAGGCCTTAGAAATAGAAATTCCATTTGACCCAGCAATCCCATTACTGGGTCTATATACAAAAGACTATAAATCGTTCTACTATAAGGACACATGTACACGAATGTTCATTGCAGCACTGTTTACAATAGCAAAGACTTGGAATCAACCCAAATGCCCATTGATGATAGACTGGATTGGAAAAATGTGGCACATATACACCATGGAATATTATGCAGCAATCAGAAATGATGAGTTTGTGTCATTTGTAGGGACATGGATGAATCTGGAGAACATCATCCTCAGCAAACTGACACAAGAACAGAAAACGAAACACCACATATTCTCACTCATAGGTGGGTGATGAAAAATGAGAACACATGGACACAGAGAGGAGAGTACTAAACACTGGGGTCTATTGGGGGTAAATGGGGAGGGCCAGTGGGAGGGGGAGGTGGGGAGGGATAACCTGGGGAGAAATGCCAAATGTGGGTGAAGGGGAGAAAGGAAGCAAAACACACTGCCATGTGTGTACCTATGCAACTGTCTTGCATGTTCTGCACATGTACCCCAAACCTAAAATGCAATAAAAAATTAAAAAAAAAAAGAAAACAGCCATGATGCAAACTGCCTGTGATGAGGGCCATGTAGCAAGGAACTGAGGGGTTCAGTTCTACAACTGTAAGAAACTGAATTGGCCAATAAGCACATGAGCTTGGAAGAGGTAGCTGAACTCCAGAAAGGACTGCAGCCTCTGAGACCCTAAGCAAACAACCCAGTAAAGGCATGCCCAGACTCCTGGTCCATGGAACTGTGAGATAATCAATGGGTGTTCTTTTAAGCCACTGAGTTTATGATAATTTGTTACACAGCAATAGATAATATGCTTAGTTTAATAGAGGCCCCTCTCCCTCTCTTCTAGACAGTGATAATTAATGGCTAATGAGAAATCCATATCAGCAGGTCTCATAACTCCTGCAAGGGGTCCTCTCAACATCCACAGCTTCTTAAAAATTGAGAAACACTAACACAGATGTCAAGATGGTGGAATAAAGGCTCTCAGAGGCTTTCTCCTCCTGTCTCACGTTCCTAGATGCTCAAAGGTTCATCCCATGGCCCTTTACTATCCCAACTCCCTTTTCCTTTAAAGGTTTTTAAAGAGCTACTCTGGAACCTAAATACTGACCTTCCTTTAGGGTCCTCTTCTGGATGAAACAAAAATTAACCACAAGAAAAAGCTCTGCTCTTTGCCCAATACACATCGATGGAAATGCAAATGGCAGGATTGGTTGTCAAAGTGAGACATTTGAGCTCTTCGGTCATATTTCTTACAGGAATGGGTCCCCTGGCAGCGTGAGAGGGTTTCACTAGAACTATCACCGTTAGATCCCAGACCCTTGGAACTTTGAGACCCAACTGCCTCCCTGAGTCTCTGTCAAGCCAGGGCTTTGGAGAGTGTCCAGGGCTCTGGAGTAAAAACTCCACATCATGTTGCCATTCAACATTTCTGTTATTCACAGGTGTGTGCTGAAGTACAGGGGCGTGTTTGGGAAAGGGAGATGGTAGAAGTGGGGATGGCTTACAGCCAAGTCTGAGGGGGACACAGCCTGTGAGCCCTGGGTGGGGAGATGTGGTCAGGACAGTTGGAGAGGAGAGGAGGGACAGACTGAGAGGCCCTGGGGAGAGTACTCCTCCTTCCCAGAGACTGGATGACTTGTGGGATAAGAAAGTGGATTCCCACTAGCAGAATACTTACAAGATAAAGAACATTAAAAACAGGTAGGAGGCATCCTGATTCCCTAACCCAAAAGTGGGGCCCAAAAGATTTCCCTGTCATTTGTAGCTAGGAGAGATGATCCAGGTCAGTTAGAACAATGAACTGCTGGTCTTTGGGAAATTTTCTATGCACTGCAAGGCAACAGGAACAAAACTCAGAGACATCTAGGGCCAAGGCTGCTTAGGTGGAACTCCCACTCCAAGTTTGCCCATCCAGCCAAATGGGAGTTCTTCAGCCTATGCTTGGACACCTCTAATACCAGGGGCTCGTTACTCTCAGGAGGAGCCTCTTTCTACTTCATGGAATTCAGATGGTTAGAAAATGAGCTTTCTTATCATACCCGCATTTCTTCCCCATGAAATTCCTGCATCATTCCTAGCTCTGCGCTTGGACACACATTGATCCCCATAAAATAGACATAAGCAGCTACCCCTGCCCCTTCTTCCACAGTAGTGCCCTCTGCACTCCCTCCTCCTGCTCCCTACTGAGCTTTCTTTCCCCTTTGAAAGATCACTCAGATGATGTGGTTGCAAGTCCATTCCACAGACCCAGACTGCATGCCTACTGTGTGCAGCTAAGCATGGCTTTCCACGCTACAGTGGCTATAGGGTAGGTGGAACATCTCTGTCCTCTGAAGATCTTCAGATGCAACACATGAAAAGTGATATATTTAGAGCCAGAAGTGAATGTGTCAGCAATGACTGTGTAACAAACCACCTCAAAACTTAATGACTAAAAACAACCAATTATTATAGTTCACAAATGTGTGAGTCACCTGGGTGGGTCTGTGGATCTGTGCCATGTCCAGCCAAGCACAACTAGAGTCTCACTCATGCATCTCAGACAGCTGGAGGGCTGGCCATTGGCTCGCTACTGGCTGAGGTGACTAGGGTGATAGGGACATCATGCAGCAGCGCCTGCCCAGGCTGTGCTCATAGCAGGCATGAGCCACCGTGCCCGGCCGAGGTCTTTTTTTTTTTTTTTTCTAATTAAACAAAATAATAAAAGTGAATCCAACCAGAAGTTGTGGTTAAATAAATCCTGGTATATCCATGAAATGGAATACTGTTTGACAACTGAAAATGAATTAAATATTATACAAAAAACACCTTGGGAGAATCTTCACGACAGAGTGGAAGAAAGAGTGTCAGCAAACACTAAGTATATTCGGTATAACTGCAATATTTGTGAGTATGTGTATTTGCCAAAATTGTAAGTGTGGTTATTCTGGGCAATATGATTACTGTTTTTCTTTTCTCATCCATTTATTTGTGCACATGCGATGAAGGTGTGTGTGTGAAGCTCTATATTTTCCAAATTTTCCGTCATAATCACACGCTACTTTTATAGAAAATGAAACTTAGCAATAAATAAATGCAACACCAATGAAGAGAAAACACTTAAATATAATTTATATGACTTTATTAAGATATTTTTAGCTGTAGGAAACATCAGAAAAAAACACACTTGCCCAGCACTTCATTGCTGTACTTTGGGTTTTTATCAAATTCAGCTACATTTGACATAAGCATTAATTATCTTCTCAAATATACCACCCACCAATTTTATAGCATCATTCTTTTTCCCCAAAGCAAGAAATCATATGCTGTTCTCAGTGCACTCCAAGCCATTCATTCATTTCACCTATGTTCTGAAGGTACAAAGGTTCCGCTTCTTTAAACACAGAAGGTGACATCTATGTAGCATGGACAGAGATGAGGACCGACCATTATTGGTAAAGGATCGATTGCAACCATCTACAGAAGCCAAAAGATAAAGTGAAAACTGCCATTTGAAGTAGAGGCAGTGGCAGGACCACCTATGAATCCCATACTCCAAAGCAGGCCACTTTTCTAACTAAGAAAAGTAACATAGAATGCCAGCCTGTCCACATGTCCTCTGAAAGGTGGCCCATGTCATCCTGATCGAAGACACTGGAGGAGGCACAATACATATTCAAAAATCTTTACTGACTAGTGATTTGATTATTTTTATTTAAGAAAAATTGTTAAAGCATTCTAGGGCTGATTAATTTATACAAAGTATTTCCTTAATAAGAATAAAATGAATTTAACGCTGATTCTGTTTTCAAGTTTGGAACGGATTAGGGAATCGTTACCTTATTTCCCACCCACTTCTCAATGTGTTTTGGATTTGTGGGCTTTCTTAACTCGCCCTTTTTTCCCAAAGCATTTCCGGTAGCCATAGGCACAACATTTAAAGGCAATGAAGGCCACTGTCAGCACGATGGCCAGGAGGAAACCAATCACATCCAAGGAATGGTACTGGTACCAGGTGAGGTCGTGGGCTGCAGGTCGCAGGTGTGGCGCGCCCTTGTGCCTCATCACAAACTCCACCCAGAACACTGCCAGGTCCAGTGGCTCCACCGGGCGGTCCTTGTGAAGGCTGGAGAGGCGCATGATGTTCTCCTTATAGCTAAACACAAAGACAGTTTCGTTATGCCTGGAACACCTGTGGTCATGAACAATCCTCCCTTTATGCTTGCTGCCAGCGAGGAAGGCTACTAGATTTTCCAAACTTGGGAAAGGAAATCTGTTTCTATTATTGTTGTTGTTGTATTTAGATACAATCTCGCCCTGTTGCCCAGGTTGGAGTGCAGTGGCACAACCATAGCTCACTGCATCCTCCAGCTCCTGAGCTCAAGCCATCCTCCCACCTCATCCTCCAGAGTAGCTGGAATTACAGGCATGCACCACTATGTCTGGTCAACTTTTAAATTTTTTGTAGAGACAGGGTCTCACTGTGTTGCCCAGGCTGTGTTACTATTATAACCTGAAAGGGAACCACACACATATTCTTAATAAATGTTCTTGATCTCTTTAAAAAAAGGAAGAGAAGGAAAGAAGAAATCAAGGAAGGGAGGCAGGAAGGGAGGGAAAAGAAAGACCAAAATTATATTTCAGAAATATTTTAACCTTGCTTCTACTTTTCTTCTTTTTAGTGATATTTTTGTGAAAATTTTCATTATACTTTCATATAGTAAAATGAAGAAAGGAAAATATCATGTCAGAAATTATAAACAGTCTGAAGTTTGTAAACAACCACCTCTGGCCAAAGTAAAAGCCATCTGTAAGTGCCAAAATCAAGGTGATGATATATTTGTAATTCAGTCATTGAAACACTAAGCTGTGCCTGTGCAGCCACTTGGTGCAAAATGGATTTCTGTTTACTCTGGGCAGTGTTGATAGCCCAATCAGAACATCTCAATCCAAGATGGGTTAGGTGCTTCAACCCGTGGTGCTAGAGGTATGAAGAGGGGACCGAGGAGGAAGAGGAGAGGAAAAAGGAGGAGAAGGTAGAAACGGGAGAAGAAAGAAAAAAAAAGACCCTCCTATTCAGGACTCATCATGATCGCTGTTGACTGATAGAGTTTGGATATCTGCCCACACTCAGATCTTACGTTGAGTTGTAATCCCCAATGCTAGAGATGGGGCCTGGTGGCAGGTGTTTGGATCACAGTGTTGGATCCCTTGCGGCTTAGTGCTGTCTTCCTGACAGTGAGTTCTCTCGAGTTCTTGTGAGAGCTGGTCATTAAAAAGCATGTGACTCTTTCTCCCCAACTCTCTCTCTCGCACATGCTTTTGCCATGTCACATGCACGCTCCCGCTTTGCCTTCTGCCATGAGTAAAAGCTCCCTGAGACTCCCCCAGCAGCCAAGTGATGTCAGCACTATGCTTCCTGTATAGCCTGCAGAACCACGAGCCAATGAAACCTCTTTGCTTTATAAATTACCCAGTCTTGTGTATTTCATTACGGCAATGCAGGAACAGCCTAATTAATACACTGTCTTTAAACATATCTGTAGTGTTATTTGGAAACATTATTATAATGTAATATTAGTACTGGGCTATAAATCATGTTAAACATCATCTTCCTTTTATATAAATCTTAAGATGGTTTTTCTTGGAAGCTTCTTTCTTTTCTTTTTATTATTATTATTTTTAATGAGATGGAGCCTCGCTCTGTCGCCCAGGCTGGAGTGTGGTGGCACAATCTCAGCTCAAAGCAACCTCTCCCTCTCGGGTTCAAGTGATTTTCCTGCCTCATCCTCCCAAATAACTGGGATTACAGGCACACACCACCATGCCTGGCTAATTTTTTTTTTGTAGAGATAAGGTTTCTCCATGTTGGCCAGGCTGGTTTCAAACTCCTGACTCAAGTGATCTGCCTGCCTCAGCCTCCCATAATGGGATTACAGGAGTGAGCTATTGCACCTGGCCAGAACTTTCATTAATTCATTCAATAGTTATTGAGCACGTATTATGGCCTGGTTTTCTGCATAAACTGATGTTTGAAGATTTTCCACTTCTTTTTATTTTGTGCAGGTACTGTCCCAGCTCAGAGTGTTGGAATCATGGAGATTCACAGTCGGACAGAGATGGCTCAAAAATGAATAGATGAAAGTTAGTTAATAACTTGAGCTCACTGATTTGTGCTTTTTAAAAACTAATGTATTAGGGAACTTTCACCAAGTCATTCTTAGGTTACAAGAAGTTATCTATACCCCTGAAAAAGGAGTCAAAATTATATTAACAATGTGAGCCTCAAGAAGGAGCGGCATCAGCTCAGGGAAGAAGTCAGGTTTTAATGATATTGATGTATGATCAGCATGTCCTGATATTGAGGTGGACAGAAGAAGTTGCTGGAAGGAAGAAATGGGAGCACACCACCCAGCCCTCTAGGCACCTGACTTTTCTTTCTTTTCTTTCTTTCTTTCTTTTTTGGGTCAGGGTCTCACTCTATTGCCCAGGCTGCTGGAGTGTGGTGGCATGATCATGGCTCACAACAGCCTCCAACTTCTGGGCTCAAGCAATCCTCCCACCTCAGCCTGTTGAATGGCTGGGACTACAGGCTTGTGCCATGGTGCCCAGCCAACTTTAATCTTTTATCCAGTGGCACCACACACACATTAGAACCTCAAAGGTGGGAAGTCAGTCATCAGTCCTCCCCTGTTATCCCTTGCTCAAGCTGGTGTGCCCCCCTGTGTTCTATTCCCTCTCATCTGAACGTGCTCCAGCTCTTCCCATCTGTCTTCCGGGCTGCTACTTCCTTTGAAAGGAGGTAACCACAGGAGAAAGCAACTGACACTCTCATAAACACACACACACACACACTCATTTGAATGCACATGTGTACACCCACACATGAGCACAGCCACGTGCACAAACACGCATGCACATATGCACAAGGAGCTTCACATCTCTTTTCTTTATAAATTACCCAGTCTTGGGTATTTCTTTACAGCAATGCAAGGACAGCCTAATACACGGTCTTTAAATATACCTGTAGTGTTATTTGGAAACATTATTATAACGTAGTATTAGTGTTTGGTCATAAATCATGTTAAACATCATCTTCCTATTAGGGTCTTGGGGTGTTTATAGGCACAGCATGGGGGCATGGGCATTGTTGGATTTCATCCAACAATAAATCCAACCATCTATTGCTGGATGAAACCCACCGTTGGCCACCACCTCTTCCCAGAATGTTCTGAGAAGCCCATTACCAGTGAGCCTGACAGTAATATAATAACTTTCACGCAGAAATCACTTGCCCTTGAAGCATTTTCAGGGCCACGTTGGAATAACTTTGCCTTTGCTTTTATGTGAAGCCTTTGTCTGTGATATCTTATAGCTCCCTCATTCATAAACTCCATGGACAAAATTTCTCACAGGTTCCAGTGCTGCGAAAAGCTGTACTTCTAAGCATTTGAGTTGTTTTTCTCTCAAGGATACTTCTTATAATAGAGCACTTCTTTCTGTGCAGTAATGTATGGATCAGATATCTATTATGTCAACTTTTTTATATAAATTGGCATTTTATATCTACCAGGGGAAATACAATTTTAAATAAATTCTAAGATAAATTATATAGGAATTAAAGGATCCTTTTATAAAGTGAATAATAACCTCTAAATTATCTTACTTATAAACCCAGGTCAGGCATGGTGGCTCATGCCTGTAATCCCAGCACTTTGGGAGGCCGAGGCAGGTGGATCACCTGAAGTCAGGAGTTTGAGACTAGCCGGGCCAACGTGGTAAACACCATCTCTACTTAAAAAATACAAAAATTATCCCAGCACTTTGGGAGGCCGAGGCGGGTGGATCACGAGGTCAAGAGATCGAGACCATCCTGGTCAACATGGTGAAACCCCGTCTCTACTAAAAATACAAAAAATTAGCTGGGCATGGTGGCGCGTGCCTGTAATCCCAGCTACTCGGGAGGCTGAGGCAGGAGAATTGCCTGAACCCAGGAAGCGGAGGTTGCAGTGAGCCGAGATCACGCCATTGCACTCTAGCCTGGGTAACAAGAGCAAAACTCCGTCTCAAAAAAAAAAAAAAAAAATACAAAAATTAGCCAGGTGTGGTGGCAGGCACCTGTAATCCCAGCTACTTGGGAGGCTGAGGCAGGAGAATTCCTTGAACATGGGAGGTGGAGGTTGCAGTGAACCAACATCACACCACTGCACTCCAGCCTGGGTGACAAGAGCAAGACTCCATCTCAAAAGAAAAAAACCCAAATTTTTATGTATTTGTTTTCATGTTTGAAACAATGCTATTAAATGCTACATAAATGTTTTCATATTTGAAACAACTTATCATGAATGCCACGGCCGAAGTACAGTGTTCTTCCATATCTTCTGTGTTACCTTTTGTCATTGATGACTGCCTTTAGGGCATTTTCTAAATCTTCAGAAGTCATTTCAAGAACATTCAGGGTGATGCCAGCTCCCTTAGTCTCCATGCGCTTTGCATTGTCCATCTGATCACCAAACAAGGGCATCATAACCATGGGAACGCCATTGCATATGCCTTCATAAATACCGTGGGAGCCAGAATGGGTGATAAAGGCACGAGTCTTCGGGTGACCTGAGGTGCAAAATAGGGAGGATGCCAGCAGTCACGTCTCTGAGTTTCACAGTCTGACACATCTAAGTTCTGAAAACACTCCAAAGACTCGGTGTTACTCACAAGCTCTTGCAGAAATTTCCAGAAGAAAATGTGGGTTGAGATGCCCCACTAGATAAAAAGCAATGTAGGGGGGCCGGGCGTGGTGGCTCACGCCTGTAATCCCAGCACTTTGGGAGGCTGAGGCGGGTGGATCACGAGGTCAAGAGATCGAGACCATCCTGGTCAACCCGGTGATACCCCGTCTCTACTAAAAATACAAAAATTAACTGGGCATGGTGGCGGGCGCCTGTAGTCCCAGCTACTCGGGAGGCTGAGGCAGAAGAATTGCTTGAACCCAGGAGGTGGAGGTTGCAGTGAGCCGAGATTGCGCCATTGCACTCCAGCCTGGGTAACAAGAGCGAAACTCCATCTCAAAAAAAAAAAAAAAAAAAAAAAGGCAATGTAGGATATGTTGGCCGTAACATTTTCAAGCTCAACAATCCTTTAGAATAGCTGTGCTTAAGCCATTTTGTTAATCTGACCCTCGTTTGACCCACACATCCAGTCTCCCAACATACCAAGCAGATCATTTTGGGGTAGCCACTTAACAAGTATCGTATTGTTCGCAAGATTCGATGGTCGGGTTCCAGTGTACCGCCACAAGACCTTGGAGGACAAAACAGATGGTAAAGAAAGAACATACTACGACTAAAAAAATAAATCTGCTATACTAACTAGAAAGAGGGGGTCCTCTGAAGGAATTAACCCTCGGCAGAGTGGGAGACTCAGTACTATGAAGGCTTCGGAGGACTGGCAACTTTCGGTGTCTTGTTTTGGAGGTTTAGTTGGTGTGTGCACTACATGAATTTGTGAAAATTTATCGAGCTGTGCACTTCAGAGTTTTTCACTTTCCTGAACTTCAAGGGAAAGCTTACTTAATAAAACAAGTGGATGTAGAGCTATAACAGCAGAAATATAAGACATACATTCAATGTCCTAACCAACAGCTTTTTGGAGAAATACTTCTACTTAATATGAAGAAGCAATATCCTATTTATTTTATTTTTAAATAAAATTCTCCCTAATACACTTTTGAGTCTCTTAGAAAAAATCAGCCTTCCGAGTGCAGTGGATCATAGTTTTAAGAGAGTATTTGAGAGTCAAACTGAAAACAATGACAACCACCACAACCAAAAGCCTTTGGGTGAATAGTTGGGAAGCGGCAGGGAAAAGCTGAGTCTGAAGTTCCAGTAAGAGAATTAATCTAGAAGCTGGAAGTCTGGGGCTAGAGCTCCTGCGAAGCCATAGTATAGAATCTGCTTACTGTCTGAGGGATTTTGCCCAAAGCATCAGCAATTTCCATAGCTTTCTTCTCTGGAATTTCTGAGACCATCGATCCCAAAGAGAAAATCACAACTCCATGTTCTCCAGAAGCATTAATGTAGGCTTCAAATTCCTAGACCCAGAAGAGACATTTTCAGTTAATTTTTTTCTCATATTCTTTGAGGACTACATACAGTAAGTTATGAATTACGTATCTTCCTCTTAAAATATTAAAGGCACATGTGTTTGAAATAGAGTAAAAAAAATTAACATGTAAGTTTTATAGTATTTTCCTCTCCTTTACTTTTAAAGGAGGAAGGCTTCTTGCTTACAGAATTATCTATGGGCTTCTTCCTTGAGATGCAAAATCCAGGTAATGTGCTAATTTTCCAAAAGAAAAGCACAGGTACATGCACACACCTGTACATACACAGTGATAATTCCACTTAGAGGACACAGAGCAAGGCATCAGCGTTAGGGAAGGGAAGAGCTGGGAAGGGCGTGGTCCCTTTAAATGGAAGGAAAGTGCTGGCTAGAAGAGGGTGTGGTCCCTGGTGAGGGCTCCACCTCCAGGCCTATGCCCACAGACCTAGGCAAGGACAGGCATTTTTGTTTTCGTGCCCAAATGTTGCATTTTCCAAAACCACCCTCACCTGATACATCCCCATACTGTGCCTACAAAAACCCCAAGACCCTAGCAGGCAGACTCACAGGCTGGGTGTCGAGAAGAACTCACCAACAGGCACTGGCACATTGGTAGGCCACCGACCAGCAGAATGATGTAGAGTTTGGCTGAGGCATTTGGAGGAGGACCTAGGCCAGTAAGCAGCCCAACTCCAGGGAAAGCCTTCCCACTCCATCCCCTTCTCACTTCCCCCATCTTTTGAGAGCCGCCTTCACTCAATAAATCCTTGCACTCATTTTCCAAACCCAGGTGTGATCTGATTCTTCTGGTACACCAAGGCAAGAACCCCAGGATACAGAGAGCCCTCTTTCCTTGGGACAAGGTAGATGGTGTAATTGAGCTAACACAAGCCACCTATAGATGGAAAAACTAAAAGAGCACACTGCCACACACCCACTAGGGCTTCAGGAGCAGTAAGCATCCACCTCTAGACACTGCCGTGGAGTCAGAGCCCCACAACCTGCCTGTCTGTATGCTCCCCGAGAGGTCTGAGCAGCGGAGAACTGAGAAAGTGAGCCATGTCCCATGTCACATGACCTGTGAGGGAGACAAGGACACTTTTTCTGTTTCATTAGCATGGCAATTCTTTTCCCAGTGTAGATTTTCAGTGGTCCAATGAATCTCCCAAGAATCTCTCAAATTGTTTTATGGGTTTATTTTATTATTATGTATTTTTTACTTTAAGTTCTGGAATACATGTGTAGAATGTGCAGGTTTGTTACACTGACATACATGTGCTGTGGTGGTTTGCTGCACCTATTGACCCATCCTCTAAGTTCCCTCCCCTTGCCCCGTAACCCCCAATAGGCCCTGCTGTGTGTTCTCCCCACTGTGTCCATGTGTTCTCATTGTTCAACTCCCACTTATGAGAACATGTGGTGTTTGGTTTTCTGTTCCTGTGTTAGTTTGCTGAGGATGGCTTCCAGCTTCATCCATGACCTTGCAAAAAACACAGTCTTATTCCTTGTTATGGCTGCATGGTATTCCATGGTGTATATGTACCGTATTTTCTTTACCCAATCTGTCATTGATGGGTGTTTGGGTTGGTTCTATGACTTTGCTATTGTAAATAGTGCTGCAGTAAACATGCATGTGCATGTGTCTTTATATTAGAATAGTTTGTATTTCTTTGGGTATATACCCAGTAATATGATTATTGGGTCTAACGGTTTTATGTTTCTAAAAAATACTGAGGGCACTAATAAGATTGTGTGATGTGGCAGGGCTTGCCCAGAACTGAGGGGTTCCCTGGGACATGTGACTTACAGTGCTAGAACCTGAACAGTCCTGGGGAAGCCAGGATGCTGGTCACCCTAGATGTGAGACACCCTAGATGCTGAGACCTCTGACAGGGCTCAGCAAACACAGTTTGCACAGCTGGACTCCTGCCAAGCCTGATTTGGAACATAACCAGGAAAGCCCCAGACACTGACCATCCTTCCCGCAAGGTAAGCCCCATCTCCCTGCCACCCTCACCAGCCCCAGGCCTTCGTGAGTCCTCTGACTGGTAAGGGCTGTGTCTTGGCCTTTTCCCTGGGGCGAGTCATCCTCTCTACCACCATGCTGCATTTCTGGTTTGTAGTAAGAACATCCTGAAGATGGTTTTTGTGAAATCCTTCCTCCCCAGGGTCTGCACCACATCTCTCTCCTCTCTATTCCCAAGTGCTCTTCAAGCTCTTTCTTCTGAGTGATGGTAAATGGCTTGCCTAAATTTCCTAGGGCCTGTGCTCCCTCATGAAACCCACTCTTTACTCTGAAGCTCATCTGGAAAGGGCTAAGTCTAAGTACTCCTCCTTGTACACCCTCCCATGTCCACTCAGCAGTCAGCAGGATGTGATTCACACAAAATTGAACCCACAGGTCCATAAAGGTCCGAAGTTAAATAGCTGGATATCACGAAAGTTTAAATGGCACAAAAGTTCAGCTAGAGATTCACGCAGGGCAAACTGCAGAGAAGTTGTTATCATGGCCAATTCCTACCTGAACCAGCTCTTATGAGGCTCAATAAAGGTGAAGTCCATCCCCTACTTGGCAAAGCATCCCTTAAACTTTGCCCTGACTTCACAGCTACTGGAATAACCAGAGTGAAGCAACATATTAACTGAAAATAACACTCCAATCCCCATCATTGATTCCCTTCCAAAAAAAAGATGAGATCCCCCTGAATGAGAGAATTTCCCTGCTCTGATGAGACTTCCCCACCCAAAATGAGACATATAACTCCAAAATTTTACTAAGAATTTTATATTTTAGCTTAGGCTTTTAATAAGATTTCCCCTTCCCAAATGCATTTCCTTTTTCCAGAATTCTTCTTTAGCACTTAGACACCATGTTGGACACCTGTGACTTCACCATGATGCATTCTCAGGAACCCACATGTGTCTCCACCTTCCCTGCTCCCAAGCTTTCCTCTCCTGGCCATCTCGAAGTCTCTGTCCTCACTAATCTTACATTTGGTTATTTTTCTCAGACTTAACATTGTGATTGTCATCTGCAAATCACTGCTGTCTCACCCTGTCAGGTGAGCGACATCCTGGAATTCTTGAGTTTCATTCCTTTTCTCCCGAAGTGGCTCCACTATCCCTTTTCCTTCAGACACACCAAAGACATGCCAGTGCCAGGCTGTGCTTTCTCTGTGGACTTCTTTGTGCAACATAGGTTTTTATCTTTCTTCTTAAAAGTTCAGGAGTTTTATCAAGAGTATTGAGCATAGGACAATTACCACAAGAGGAAGGGAAGTCTAAAGTAGCATTTTTAGTTAACAAAGGAAAAAATAAAAATAGTAACTTGATCAACCAGTAAAAATCCAGAAAAGGGAGAAAGGCAAAGTCAACTAAACATAGTAAACCGAGAGAGTTTCAATCAAACCTATCAATTGTTAGATTCAAACAGGCAAAATGCACTGTTAAAGCAACAGTCTAACCAGATTAAAAATACCAGCTCTATGTTGTTTAAAAAGGAAGAAAGTTTGAAGACAAAGCAGTACTAGAGATGTGCCAGGGAAGTGTAAACAAAAATCATACAGGAGTGGTGATATTAATATCTAAAAAGTGGAATTTCAGATTAAAACATGCAACAAGACAAAGAAGGTTACTAAGATACAATTTACGAAGATACTTTCACACCTAAGCCTGCTTGCACCAAACAAGGCAACAACCAATATGCAGTCCACACAATTCACCACTTAGACATTTGTGGTTATGTCAGTAAATGCCAGAAAGGTGGCTGGTGAAGTTCGGTGACTCCCCTATAAACATCCTCACATAAAGAAGGAAATTATTTAAATCAATAAAGACTATTGCCAGAAAACCATGCCTAACATAATTCAAAATAAGGAAATGATAATCAGTTTCTATTAAAATAGCAGCAAAATGGAAATCTTTCTTATTGCCAAAATTATTCAACTGTTTTTAGAGATTCTAATAAATTCAATAATCCTGATATTTGGCATGGAATTTAGAACAGAAGAAACCAAAATTTCGTTATCAGCAAATGACTGCCTATTATTTTTACTATGAAAATCAATATTTTAATGAGATACCTGAATAGTGAGTAATCAGCTAGAGACAGAAATGGAAAAAATAACATTCACAGTAGTGACCCAAAAAACCTGTAAAACACTTAGGAAAAGATGATTGAGAAAGAAACAGAACAAATGTTTTTTAAACTACGAAATATTTTATCTTTTTAAAGGAAGTGTTTAAAGTCACAACAACAAAAAATCCTGGAATACAAATTGTAATGTTCCTCTGTGGGGAACTAGATTAGATCCCTAGTGGAATACACTGAGTGTGGTACACGAATACCATGAAATACTGTTTCATAGTTTAAAAAGTAATAATATTTAAGACTGGAGTAATATCCATGACATATTGGTAAGTGAGCAGTGGGGATGCACTGTTACTCTATTTTGTAGAAAAAAACAAAAAATTCTGTATGTGTGTATATATATTGGTATGTAACCGCTGGAGTACAAAGAACTATAAAGAACTGTTGGGGAGTGCTCTCTACCCAGTAACTCCACCTCAGTTGGCACCTTTCTTCTCATTCATTCATTTATCACATATTTGGTGAGCACCTATTCTGTGCCTTAGATGCTGATATTTATGGGGTGCCAAACACATGCAGACCCACTGGCAGGTGTTGAGGAGGCAGTATCCAGTGGATGTGATAATGCAAAGTCACACGTGCCCCACGTGGCTCATGATGTGAAGCAGACAGTCAACAATTATCTAAGTGAAATGACTGCCATATTTGATGTGCTATGAAGGAAACTGCACAGGAAATTTTAAAAAGTAACGTGCAAGTTATGTTGGAGGTATAATGAAAATAAGGTCTGGTGCTCTCCGAGGGTGGTATCAGTCCCCTTAATGGGAGCCAGACTCAGCACTTGGGAAGTACCTGGGCTGCCAGTAGATCCTCAGCCAATCTTCAAAGGATAAATGAATGAACGCTCATGGAAACGTCACGTCCTCAAAGAGTCCTTCCCTAGCCCTCCACCTGAAGAAGTCTCTCCTGTTCTTCTCTATCCTCTCTGCTGAGATTTAGATGAGGATGTGAATGCTACTTTTTTGCATACTTCAAACTCTGTAGGTGAAAAATGAATGTAATAGCATGAGAATGAAACCCACGACCTTTCTGTATCATGTCAGAATCTGACTGGTGATTCACTCATTGGAAGAGAAGGGACTGCAGGATCCAGCTTCTTAATGGAATATTTAGAAACTGGAGTTTTAACCAGGATCACAAAGGCAACTTGCATTACCAGTATCTATCATCAAAGAATGATTTCATCAATCCTGAACTTTGTCTGCCTGGCTGAATCCAGGGCAAGGTGCAGGCTTCAATTACGTTTTCTGCAAGGTGCCCCAAACCCAGCATTCTGTGCTTATGGCATTTAACAGCTTGTTGTTTCTAACTGATTACTATCCACTGGAGCACACGGAGTAAAACGTCCAAGCCATGCTTTCCCAAGATCTCAGATACAAAGAAATCATCCAGAAGATGATGCCAAAGACAGACTCAGGCCTAGGAGACAGAAATCAACAAAAGAGGCCATTTTAAACTATCTCGGCATGCTCGCTCTGCATATATCTGGGGCTAGTTAATCAGTCCAAAGCAATACCTCTGAAAGAACACATGCATGTAAAGGTCCCACTCCAATACACACCTGGGATAGTGGATTTTTGAGAAGGCAGTTGATCCCACCAAGAAAAACCATATTGGGCATAATGGGCCTGGGGTAATCCTTCACAAAATCACGTCTAAACAGCCAGATAGATGCAGAGCTCAATAGGTCCTGGACAGTTACATCTCTCTGAAGGAATTCTGAGGCAAGGGTTGCATACGGGGAATAAACAATGTTGCACAGAAAGTTCTGTGTTAAGCCAATGAGCATGTTCTTCACCCGCTGCAGGAAGGTCATGTGATCTGAGTTAGCAGACAGAGGCGCCGGTACGTAGGAGAATGGCTTGGGGCACTGGGTAGCCTCAAATTCCAGGCTGCATGGCAGTGCATGCAAGAAGAATACAGTAGGCAGAGACAGGTGCTGGGCCACGATGGGGCCACAAGGAAGGAAAGGATCTGTCAGCATGACATCAAAGCTGCTTTCCGCCAGGAAGGCCATGAGCTCCTTGTTGTGCAGTAAGTGAGAACAGCCAGACAAAAGCATAGCTGAGTCCTTTTTTATTTTCTTGTATGTTTTGATCACACGCTGCAGGAAAGAATCATTCTCAAAAACATTATGCCCAAGACTAACAAAAGACTCTTTCACATCCTCCTTTTGGAATGGCACAGGGTATGTCTTCAAGGTGTAAAAAGCTCCCTCTCTGATGTACATCGAGGCATCAGGTGCTAGGACCACTATTTCATGTCCCCTCTGCTGCAGCTGCTGGATGGTCCCAAGCATGCTTAGCCAATGGCTGCCATCCACTGGGACCAACAGTATCTTCCCAGCATGGGACACCACCGGGCCCAGCACACACAGCAGCAGGCCCAGGACAAGCTGGCGTCCGCCCCGGGACTCCGCAGCCATGGTGACTTTGCTCCTGCCAGAGGTTTGCCCTCTCGTACTTATACAAATGGCAAGAATCAATCGATAGACCGAGTTAATGTTTGATTGCATCACATGACTATAAAGCTGTCAGTCCACAAAGGTAGCAGGGAGTTCACTTTCAGAGAAAAGAAGGGGGAGCTTTACTAGGTTTCTTGATAGGCAACAACAGTTGAACTGGCTGAAGTTTCATACGCAAATCACATTCTTGAGTGAATACAGCGAAGTAGCTCCAGCACCTCTGGATCCATTAAATTAGTATTTCCATGGACCAAGAAATGTTACCAGAGGGGTTACCATTAGGCTTCTTTTTCAGAAATTAAACAGAAAGCTTTTTAGAAAGCCTTTTAGAAAGAAAGGAACGCAACATCACAACCCTCGCTTTCGCCATGGAAACCTGCTGAGAGCGCCCGCTCCACAGCTCCCCAGGCACTGCCTGCTCACTTGCATCATGTGTTGCATTCCTTCATCCAACAAATATTTATTGAGTCACAGCACAGTGTGAGGTCTTGAGGCTGCAGGAGAGCCCACCGCACGAGTCTCACGTGCCATCCTCAGAACTCACGTGCCATCAGGAGAGCCAGACTCACCATTTAAACAGATGAGCAGGGACTTAGAATTCACGCTAGGAAGGAAATGAACAGGAGGGTAGGGGTGGGACGTGCTGGGGTAGAGAATGACCAGAAATGGAAATTCACAGGAGGTCCACATTCACGGAGCTCTTCCCCAAGGACAGGTCTGTATTTAAATAGTGTGAACCTCAAAGAGCGAGTCCTGTAACATAGATCTTGAGTAGCTAACTGGACCTGGATTTACAATCGAGCCAACTAGCCGTTTACTCTGAGTGTCCTGAAAACCTGTAAATTTTTATAGTTGAGGTTTTCAGCCCTCACCTGAACCAACCAATCAGAGCTCACCCACCTCAGCCACTCAGGGCTCAGCTTCATCAATCAATCAGAGCTCAGCTGTAATAACCAATCAGAATGCACCTGCATTGACCGATCAGAACTAAGCAAGTTTCCAGCCTTCATTTGCATAAACAGACCTGATTGGGAACCTGGGAAGGAACTTTTTGCTATAAAACCTGCCTTCCTTGTGTTCTCTGGCATTTGCCTTCATTGTATACCAGATGCTGTTAGTCCGTGGTTTGCAAACTGTTCACTAGAACCAGATCTCTCTCCTCCAAATTCATTTTCAGAGAGCTTTTGTTCAAAACAAGAAACCAAATAGATAAGCAAATTCGATTAAGTTAGATTGTACTCATTACACTGACCCAAGGTCCAGGGGAAATAAGGCATTTTGGGAAATGCTGATGACTGAGTTGAAGGTAAGGGAGAAAGACGACAAAAGCAGTAATTCAAATTTGTATGTATTGAGCATGGACTCTGGGGCAAGTACTGCGCAGCCAGAACTGTAAGCCTTTCACTCTTTTCTTTTGGGATATACCACTATTCTATACAATCCCAAGATAACTGCACAGATCCCAACATTTTAACCATACACATCACTGGCCAGACATACCTGGGGGATGTGCTTGGAGGATCATATAGAAACAGCTAACTAAAGCTTTGGTGCCCTGTGGGGCATATTAACAGGTACCTCTCTTCTGCTACTTAGAGCTGAAGCTTTCCCCCACACCCAATCACTCTTTATTTTTTAGGACCAAGATTCTGGACAAGCAGAAAAGACAGCAATGCTTTCACTCTTTGTTGTATCCTTATCTGCAATTCTGAAATTCACAGTTCAATTTAAATCTTAAGGATGATAATTCTTCTAAAGTCTCAATGCCATGTGAGTTCATTTGCAGATTATAGAGAGCAAAAGGGCTATAAACACACAAGTCACCACTGTAATGATTTTATGACTTTCAAGGCTTCATGCAGAGCTTCCAAGCTTTTTGAGGCTGCTGCTGCTGCTGTGTATTTGGATGGTTTGGGGCCACAGCTCTGTCCCTGACCAGAAAATATTTACTAATCTGAATAGTAGCCAGTTCACATTCATGCTCATGAATTACAACAGAGAACCACTACTGAGCAATCCAATAAATCTCTGCTCTGGAACCAAAGCAGAATCCATTGTTAATTCCCTTATCCACCAAATATTTATGGAATGTGTGAGCCCTACTATATGCCAAACACTATGCTAGGAACTGGGGCCAGAAAGCCAAGTTAGAAATGGTCTCTGCCTGTAAGGAGGGGTCAGGTGAACAGAGACAAACTCACGACTAGGCAATTACAGGGCGTGGTGCTCTGGGGCCTGAGAAATCACACAGCAGGGCAGCAACGTGATGATCTTGCTTTGGGGGCTACTAAAGAGTGAGATGTCCATGGCAAGTATTTCTGGAATCCTTTCAAAGGTATTTTCTTTTTAAGCTGAAGACAGAAGTTAATAGGCCACCACTTGACACACTCCCATCTCCTTTCATCAAATCAGAATGAAGGGGCTTGCTATTTAAGGAGCAACATAAACATGTCCATTGCCCTGTCGATCATCTACAGGACCCTCCAGGGAAACAAAGCCCGTTCCTTGAATCTCCACAGCATTTGGTTCTGTTCTGCCTTGTATCTTTTAGCAGTTTGCATATCTGTTCTTGCTATTAGACTATAGCTATATCCTATACATATATTCCTTACGGGCAAGATTTTGGCTTTGGAATCACCACTCAGGTGACAGTTCATAGTTTTGCAGACAGTAAGCACTCTGGACATGTTTCTGTATAGAAGTGACTTCCCTTCTCTTTTCGTTCTAGACCCTGTAACCAAGCAAGCAAGTAAGTGCTGAATCTGGATGTTTCTACAACTGTTTCTCAGACCCAGCTGCTGTGATTCGATTTCATCGCCCCAGCCCTCCAGTTCCCCAACCCCCAGTTGTCCCTTCTGACTCACTGCATCAGCTGCCCCCTGCACAGATCTACCCCACCACCACTTCTGGCACGTTGGTCAGCAGCTTCCTGGGCCCAAAAGAAAATTCAGACTCCTCAGCCTTGCTCTCAAAACTCTGGGACAGACCCCAGCCCACCTATCCAAGCTCATTCCTCCTCTTTTGCCCTTCTGCTTGCCTCCTCTGTCTTTTCCCTTCCAGCCATTTTGGATCACTTGCTGTTCCCCAAACTTGCTTCGATGTTCCCAAATTGCTTTGTTCACATTGAACTCTACCCCTGACCAGCTTTTTATGACCGTTCATTGCGTGCTTACCAAGTGCCAAGTCCCAGGTTTCAGGTTCTGTCACTAGAGGTTATATAAACTCAGCAGTTTGTTCTGGTGAGATAACACACACCCATTAGATCTATCACCCTTTATGAACTCTTAGAAAGTTCATTTGTTAATCATTTCGCCTTAGAACCGAATGACCTTTACTAATGTGTTGCCTCACAATTTTTCAAAGCAAAGAATCCAGTGTCAAAAAGAGTAAGGAAGAAGTGAAGAGAATTCAAATCTCAAAAAAATGTCCCCCCCAAATTCATGGTGATGATATAGCAGTTCTAGTGAAAATAATCACCTTATCCCAAGTTTATCCCCAGTGCTATAAACATGGCCTGCAAGTCTTAATGGTTTCGATATAGTAAATAGTGCTGTATTTCCTTTTGTCTGAGAGGATCTCCCTGGTGTTTGTTTTAGCCATCAAGAAAAGTGAGTAACACACACAGCTGACCCTCCATATCCTTGGGCCTCACATCGGCAGATTCAGCCAACAGCAGATTGAAAATATATGGGAGGAAAAACAATGACCAAAAAATATATACAAATAAAAAACCAATGCTGTAAAACAACTATTTACATAGCATTTGCATTTATTAGGTAAAAGTGATCAAGAGATAACTTGAGGTTTATAGGAGGATGTGTGTAGGTTATGTACAAATACTGTGCCATTTTGTAAAAGGAGCTTGAGTATCTAGATTTTGGTATGGAAAAGAGGGTATCCCTTCAGAATACCAGTGACTAGTGTTCTAAACTAGCAGTTATCAAAGTATCAGCCAGGAAATCCTAGGGATCCCCAAGAATTTTTCAGGAGAATTTGCAAAGTCAAAACGATTTCCATAATAATGCTACTTGATTTTTTTCACTGTCATTCTCTCACAAGTGTACAGTGGGGTTTTCCAGAAGCTACATGGGTGATATGTAATATTGCAGTAGATTGAATGCAGAAGCTGACATGAGAACCCAGCTCTCTATTAAGCCACGTACTAAAGAGAGGTGCAAAAAATGTAAAACGATGCCACTCTTGTCACTAATTTGTTTCAAAAGAAGTAAATAAAAATATGATTTCTTAGTGTGTCATTGGTTTGTTCTTATTAAATTGCCCAATTAATATGTCTTTAAAAAATTTTTTAATCTCGAATGCAGTACGTATGATAGATATAATCCACATAAACAAACTAAAATGGACCCTGGGACTGTAACAATAGAGAACTGCGGTCCTAGACAACAGGATGTCTTCAGCCCCGGTCAGACTAAACTCACTCCCACCACCCTCTTCCTTCCTGTGGCCAAGGAAAAAGCTAATATAAAGCTGACTTTAAGAAGAACTAAAACAGATTTACAAGAAAAAAAACAAACAAGCCCATTCAAAAGTGGGAGAAGGATATGAACAGACACTTTACAAAAGAAGACATACATGAGGCCAACAAACATGAAAAAATGCTCATCATCACTGGTCATTAGAGAAATGCAAATCAAAACCACATTGAGATACCATCTCATGCCAGTTAGAATGGCGATCATTAAAAAATCTGGAGACAACAGATGCTGAAGAGGATGTGGAGAAATAGGAACACTTTTACACTGTTGGTGGGAGTTCAACCATTGTGGAAGACATTGTGGTGATTCCTCAAGGACCTAGAAACAGAAATTGCATTTGACCCGGCAATCCCATTACTGGGTACATATCCAAAGGATTATAAATTGTTCTACTATAAGGACACATGCATACGAATGTTCACTGCAGCACTGTTTACAATAGCAAAGACCTGGAACCAACCCAAATGCCCATTGATGATAGAATGGACAGGGAAAATGTAGCACATATACACCACAGAATACTATGCAGCCATAAAAAATGATGAGTTCCTGTCCTTTGTAGGGACATGGATGAACCTGGAAACCATCATTCTCAGCAAACTGACACAAGAACAGAAAATCAAACACTGCATGTTCTTACTCATAGGTGGGTGTTGAACAATGAGAACACAAGGACACAGGGAGGGGAGCATCACACACGGGGTCTGTCGGGGGGCGGGGGGGAAATAGGGGCGTGACAGCAGGGGGTGGGGAGTTGCGGAGAGATAGCATGGGGAGAAATGTCAAATATAGGTGATGGACAGGAAGGTAGCAAATCACACGGCCATGTGTGTACCTATGCAACAATCTTGCATGTTCTTCACATGTACCCCAAAACCTAAAATGCAACAAAAAATACAAAAATTAAAAAGACAAGAAAAAAAGAAAAACAGTTCTTCAGGCAGCCAATGTCAAGTGCCTCTCCTTCCCTCAACCTCTTTCCCACCCTTCTTGGAGACCTCGACTGGGCAGGGGCCTGGGCCTGGAGTGGGTGTGGCTGGGAGAGTGGGCGGGGTCTGGTCGTCGAGCATCACAGAGCCACACAGAGCAAGGCCAGTCCCAGGAGCACTGCATACTGAGATGCTAGGGGCTCCTAGGCCTCGACCAATGAGATGTGGTGGCGTCATAAGGTGCGTTCCTCTTTGCTGCCCACGTCGCCTAGCACTCAGGCTCAGGGGCTGGCAGTCGTGCCGCTCACTGCGCCAGTGGCCCACAGGCCATCCTGGCTATCCAGCATGGACTACTACGAGGTGCTGGGCCTGCCCAGGCCATCAAGAAGGCCTACCGCAAGCTGGCGCTCAAGTGGCACCCGGACAAAAACCCCAAGAACAAGGAGGAAGCGGAGAGGAGATTCAAGCACGTGGCCGAGGCCTACAAGGTGTTGTCGAACTCCAAGAAACGCGACATCTACGACCGCTATGGCGAGGCGGGGGCGGAGAGTGGCTGCGCCAGCAGCGGACCCTTGGAGGACCCCTTCGAGTATGTCTTCAGCTTCCGCGACCCGGCCGAGGTCTTTAGGGAGTGTTTTGGCGGCCAGGACCTATTCTCGTTTGACTTCTTTGGAAACCCACTGGAGAATATTTTTGGGGGTCGGAGGAACTCCAAGGGAAGCAGAAGCAGAGGGTCGGCACCCCTTTTCTCCACCTTCAGTGAATTTCCAGCTTTTGTCTCAGCTCAAAAACGGAAGACTGCTAGAGGCCTGTATATTAGTATTCATCTTTTATAAAAGGGTTTGATAAGGTTTTCAGAGTGGAAAAGGGGGGCATTTCGTCTGCTGCAAAGATGACTATCTTGAGATCCTTAAAATGAATTCCCTCCATGGAATTACTTGTACCTCTGACCAAGCATGCCAGAGGAGGAAAAGCATGACCCTGTAAGCCCCAGGAGACCTGGAGACCTGTGACCATCTCAGTAGGGTCCAAAAATCCAAAATGCCAGACATTTTTTTCTGGTTGGAGCACCACACAGCTGGTTTTAGTTCAGCTTACATCACACACTGGAAAGCATCTGGAAGAGGAAATGATCCTTTCTGTCCATCATCTTCTTCTCCTCTGATTCCACTTTCTGTCTCCAAACAGGTAGAGAGACTTCCCCATCTTGGAAAATCATTCATTCACACAACAGCTTGCCTTTCTGGGAATTTCTAATTCCACTTTCTTGTCACATTTCTCAGTAAATGCAGATTCATTTCCTTTTCTCAGAGTTTCCTTTAAACCCTTTCAGTATAACTTCAATCACCACAAATCTTATATTAGTCTGTTCTCACACTGCTATAAAGACATACCCAAGACTGGGTAATTTATAAAGTAAAGAGGCTTAATTGACTCAGTTCCACATGGCCGGGTTGGGGGCACCTCTGGAAACTTAAAATTGTGACAGAAGGTGAGAAAGAGGCAAAGGTACGTCTCACATGGCAGCAAGCAAGAGAGAAACAAAGAGGAAGAGCTTGTGAGTGAAAGGGGAAAAGTCCCTTATAAAACCATCAGCTCGGGCCAGGCGTGGTGGCTCATGCCCACTTTGGGAGGCTGAGGTGGGTGGATCACGTGGTCAAGAGATCGAGACCATCCTGGTCAACATGATGAAACCCCGTCTCTACTAAAAATACAAATAATTAGCTGGGCACAGTGATGCGTGCATGTAATCCCAGCTACTCAGGAGGCTGAGGCAGGAGAATTGCCTGAACCCAGGAGGTGGAGGTTGCAGTGAGCTGAGATCACGCCATTGCACTCCAGCCTGGGTAACAAGAGTGAAACTCCGTATAAAAAAAAAAAAAAAAAAAAAACCATCAGCTCTCATAAGAACACAAACACATTCAGTACGATGAGAACAGCATGGGGGAAACTGCCCACATGATCCAATCACCTCCCACCAGGCCCCATCCTTAACACATGGGGATTATGGAAATTACAATTTGCGATGAGATTTGGGTAGAAATGCGGAGTCAAACCATATCATTCTGCCCTGGCCCCTCCCAAATCTCATGTCTTTTCACATTTCTAAACCAATCGTGCCTTCCCAACAGTCCTCCAAAGTCTTAACTTATTTCAGCATTAACTCAAAAGTCCACAGTCCAAAGTCTCATATGAGACAAAGCAAGTCCCTTCCCCCATGAGCCTGTAAGATCAAAAACAAGTTAGTTACTTCCAAGACACAATAGGGGTACAGAAATTGGGTACATGTTCTCATTCCAAATGGGAGAAATAAAGGGGCTACAGACCCCATGCAAGTCCAAAATCAGGTAGGGTAGTCATTAAATCTTAAAGCTCCAAAATTATCTCCTTTAAATCCATGTCTCACATCTAGGTCATGCTGATGCCAGAAGTGGGCTCCCACAGTCTTGGACAGCTCTGATACTGTGGCTTTGCAGGGTAAAGCCCCTCTCCTAGCTGCTTTCAGAGGCTGGCATTGAGTGTCTGAGGCTTTCCCAGGCACCTGGTGCAAGCTATGTTCTGGGTTCTGGAGGATGGTGGCCTTATTCTCACAACTCCACTAGGCAGTGCCCCAGTGGCAACTCTGTGTGGGAGGCTCCAACCCCACGTTACTCTTCCACACTGCCCTAGCAGAGGTTCTCCATAAGGGCTCCACCCATGCAGCAAACTTCTGCCTGGACATCCAGACATTTCCATACATCCTCTGAAATTTATGTGAAGGTTCCCAAACCTAAATTCTTATCTTCTGTGTACCCGCAGGCCCAGCACCACAGGGAAGCTGCCAAGGCTTGACGCTTGTACCCTCTGAAGCAATAGCCTGAGCTGTACCTTGGCCCCTTTTAGCCATATCTGGAGCCACTGGGACACAGGGCACCAAGTTGTGAGGCCGCACACAGCAGGGGATGCCTACACCCAGCCCACAACATTTTTTTTTCCTTCCTAGGCCTCAGGCCTGTGATGGGAGGGTCTGCTGCAAAGGTCTCTAACATACCCTAGGGCCATTTTCCCCATTATCTTGGCAATTAACATTTTGATCCTCCTTATGTAAATTTATGCAGCCAGTTATTTCTGCAGCCAGCTTGAATTTCTCCCCACAAAATGGGTGGTTTTTCTTTTCTACCACATGGAGAGGCTGCAAATTTTCCATACTTTTATGCTCTGCTTCCCTTTTAAACATACATTCCAATTTCAGATCATCTCTCTCAAGTTCAAAGTTCCATAGATCTCTTGGGCAAGAGGAAAATGCCACCAGTCTCTTTCTAAACCATGGCAAGAGTGACCTTTGCTCCAGGTCCCAATAAGTTCCTCATTTCCATCTGAGACTGAGTGTGGACTTCATTTTCCACAGCATTATCAGCATTTGGTCAAAACAGTTCAGCAAGTCTCTAGGAAGTTCCAAACTTTCCCACATCTTCCTGTCTTCTTCTGAGCTCTCCAAACTGTTCCCTCTGCCTGTTACCCAGTCCCAAAGTCACTTCCACATTTTCAAGTATCTTTATAGCAGTAACCCACTCTTGGTGGTACCAATTGACTATATTAGTCCATTCTCACACTGCTATAAAGACATACCCAAGACTGGGTAATTTATAAAGGAAAGAGCTTTAATAGACTCTCAGTTCCACATGGCTGGTGGGGGCGGCCTCAGGAAACTTACAATCCTGGCAGAAGGTGAGAGAGAGGCAAAGACATGTCTTACATAGTGGCATGCGCCTGCACACAAGAGAGAGAAAGCAAGACAGAGAGAGAAAGAGAGAGAGAGAGAGAGAGAGAGTGCTTGCAAGCCAAGGGAGAAGGGCCCCTTATAAAACCATCAGACCTTATAAGAACTCATTCAGAATGATGAGAGCAGCAGGTGGGAAACTGCCTCCATGATCCATTCACCTCCCACCAGGTCCCATCCTTGACACTTGGGGATTATGGGAATAACAATTCAAGATGAGATTTAGTGGGGGACACAGAGCCAAACCATATTAAATCTAGTGTGACCTCATGCTGAGAAACAGTCATTGGCCTCACTATTGAATAAATTAGCCTGTTCTTTATCACACACGAAAGTTAGCCTGTTAATGTGGACTTTTCTAACGGGCAGAGCAAGAGAGACACGTGCCATAGTTCCCAATTTGTTCTGCTCCACTGACATGACAGTGAGGATTTGAGCCAATGTACTTAACTTTAGAAAATATGTTCACATTGGAAAAACTGGAAGAAAAGGGCAACAGTCACTATTTAAATGCCATCCCACTTTTCAACATTTTTACAAATCTAATAAACACATATTTTATCATTGAATAACTAAATTGCATGAGGGGGAAAAACCACCAGTAAAACAAACATTATGGGATTTGACCAAAAACAAAAATGAAGCTTAGAGTCTTTTGCAATCATACCTATGTTAATAAAAAGAAGTAAAGAAATAAGAATACAAAAGGATATAAAGTCACGGAAGTTCATATACATTTGCTGAATACACCATAAAAAGGCTGAACTCTCTCATGAAATATATGGCACACCAAGGAACAAAATACAATATTCAGCTCCCAGAGTACCATTTCAATGAAACCCAAATATTCTGGATTAATGAAAGCTGTGTGCAAAATTTTTGATAAAGGAGCAGATCCCACTATAGAAACCTGGAGTGGGATGGGGTGGGTTTGGTGATGTGGTAAGCCCCTCCTGAGAAACCCTTCCCTGCTTGGACACATGTCCATTCATCACTGTCCTTAGCTTCACTGGGCTTATAGACTCACAGTCTTATCTCCTCTCTAGCCCTTCCACCATCTCTTGATAATTTCAGCATTCCAAGTAGAAGACTCATTTGACATGCAACCATCACTGTGCCTTCCCAACCCTGAGATGGCCCCACATCACGCACCAGACCCCAAATCCTGACCAGAAAAGCTTTCGTCAGCACAAATTCCTCTCTGAAAACCAAACTCTGTGTGTCATTCTCTAATCACAGACATCCATCCCACCTTCATTGCCCCACTTCCACTGAACTTGGCAAACTTCTTTGAGTGCTTAGGTCTCCTGTGGCCACCTCTCTATCTTTCGCAAGACAGGACCACTAAAAATTATCACGTCAACAACTGTAATTTGCTGTTGCATCATCTTTCCACTGAAAATCGCACAAGCAAAAACCCCAGGATGGAGCAGTTCCATGTAGTGTCCCTGCTCCTGCCCAGCTGAAGGACATGCACAACCATGAAGATGGTGCCTTTACAAATAAACACTGTCAGTGAACCACACCAGTCCTTGTCCATCCTTCGACAGACCCTCGTCCCTGCCTCTCCTTCCTCTCAATGACTATTCAATACACTACTATAGACTCCTTAACAGTTTATCTCACTGAAGGCTATTACAACGAGGGGCAGAAATGAAATCTCTGAAAAGATTAGTAGATATGGAAGCACTTGTAAGTAAATACATTTTTTTAAAAGTGTTTTGCCTGGAACATTGATTGCATGAAGGCACCAATACAGACCTGAGATAGTGGCTTCCTGTTGGCACAGTTGATGCCCCCAATGAAGACCATGTTGGGCATGATCGGCCTGGGGTAATCCATCACAAAGTCCCCTCTGAACAACCACACAGATGCATGGCTGAGAATGTCCACCACTGACACCTCTCTCTGAAAAAGCTCAGAGGCAAGGTTTGCATAGGGAGCAGAAAAAGCATGGCAAATGTAGGACAGGGCCAGAGGGTAGAGCATGTTCTTGACCCTCTGCAGGAATGTCATGTGGTCTGAATTCATTGTTAGTAACTTAGGAACATAGGAGTAAGGATTTGGACACTGTGTGCCCTTGAAGTCTAAGTCACACGGAATGTACCTCAAAAAAAACACAGCAGGAATCGAGAGGTACTTAGCCAGCACTGTCCCGCAGAGGTAAACAGGGTCTGTTAAAACCACATCAAAGGAAGTAGCATTCAGGTGCCTGATCAGGGTCTCATTATGCAGTAGCCCCACACAAGCCCCATGTGCAACCAAAGACATATTTTTCAAAATTTCCATACTTCTAGAAAATTTCTTTAGAAAATGTTCTGTTTCAAAGAACAGTTGAGTGTGGCTCAGCAAAAGGTGATTAAATTCGTCCTGGGTGTATGGAATGGCATAAGTTGTCAGGGTGAAGAAGTCCTCTTCTTTGATGTGCATATTCACCTCTGGGGTGAGGACCACTGCCTGGTGGCCTCTGGCATGGAGCTCCCGCACAACCTCCCGCATGCTGAGCCAGTGGCTGCCATCCGTGGGCAGCACCAGCACCTTCCCGCTCTCAGCCAAGCGCTGGACACTGAGGAGGAGTAACAGTCCTGTGGCCAGTCGTGGCAGGGGAAACTGGAGTCCTGTGGTCATCTCAGCAGAAGCCACTGACAGCTGACTGTCCACCCCACTCAGTGCCTCCTACATCTGTTTTGTCTTATTTACCTTGTCACTGAGCCACTTAGCAAATAAACAGGGAACGGAAGACCAAGTGCCCAGCTGCAGTTAATTATTACTGATTAATCTATCAGTGTCTTTCATTATGGGCACCACAGTCCGTAATAAGAGGTCATACCAGCCAAGTCCAGAGACAGAAAAAGACATCTCAAAAGCCTGATCTGTGTGGTTCCCTTGTGCCAATCTCACAGAGCTAAACATACAAACTGAAACTCTTTAATGTTTTTAAGAGATCATAGAAGCTAATCTTCACATCTTGGGATAGACAAAGCTTCCTTAGGGTATAAAAAGTATAAACGACAAAAACTTAGCTAGATTGAACCTCATCAAATCTAAAACTTTTGCTCTTTGAAAGGTATTGTTTTTAAAAAATGAACAAAGGAAGGTAAGGACAAAAGGAGATCATTGAATGGTAAGCGGATAGCTCTGAAGCCTGGAGAATAGAAGTCTGTGGAGGACAGGAACAAAAATTTAAATGGCCGAATACAGGAAAACCTCCAGGCTTTGAATAAGGTGTGGCTTTCACTTTAAGCTTAGTGTCTCTGGTGGGCAGAATCACAGCCCCACAAAAGTATCTACATTGTAGTTCCTCAAACCTGGGAATATGTTCCATTACAGATGGAAGAGACTTCACAGATGATTAAATTAAGGGTTTTGAGATGGGGGGATTATTCCGGGTATCTGCGAGGGACAATGGAATCACAAGGGCTCTTACACGTGAAAGAGACAGATGTTAAGAGTTGGAGACTTGAAGATGCTACACTGCATCTCCATGGAAATGGAAAAGTGCCGTAGAATTCCAAAATCAACAAGGACAAAGGAAATTTCTGTGAAAGGAATGAGCTTACGCTCAATGGAAAGAATACAATTAAGAATGGACAGAATCAGAATGCCGACTTCAAAAGAAACTATCAGATTGAAGCCATTTTGGGTTTTGTTGTGTTTTAAATAAATAAATCAAAAAAACCACAGGAGCTGAAATTCCGGAGCTCAATGATCCTCTCACCTCTCACCCGAGCTTCTCAAGTAGCTGGGACCACAGGCGCATGCCACTGCACCCAGATTTTTCATACTAGAGTTTTAAAAACGTTTTCTAAACCTTTTAAACAAGATTTTCACATACCAAAGAAATTTTTATTTTTTTGAGATGGGCCTCGCTCTGTTGCCCAGGCTGGAGTGAGGTGGCATGAACATGGCACACTGCAGCCACCACCTCCTGGGATCAAGTGATCCTCCTGTCTCATCCTCCCGAGTAGCTGGGACCACAGGCATGCACCATCATGCCTGGATAATTTTTTTATTTTTTTGTAGAGATGGAGTCTCACCATGTTGTCCAGGCTGCTCTCAGAGTCCTGGGCTCAAACAATCCTGCCTCAGCCTCCCAAAGGCTGAAATTACAGATGTGAGCCACCCACCTGCACACACATAATTTTTAAATTAAAACTGATGGGGAATTAAAAATATAACATAGGAGTAGCAATAGTGATATCAGATGAAATGTATTTTTAGGATTATTATCTAATGACAACAGCAAACCATGTGAACAAATGAAGAAAATACAAGTCTCAATCCTACCTGCACCAATCTAATCACTACATATAAAGCAAAAGCTATTCAAGAACCGAAATATTACTGGAGCAAGATCTGTTATATAAGGGGACTTTAAAAAAGACATCCTTCCCAGAATTGGGCAGCTTCAGTAGAGGGTTTTTTTTTTTTTTGAGACGGAGTTTCGTTCTTGTTACCCAGGCTGGAGTGCAATGGCGTGATCTCGGCTCACCACAACCTCCACCTCCTGGGTTCAGGCAATTCTCCTGCCTCAGCCTCCTGAGTACCTGGGATTACAGGCACACACCACTGTGCACAGCTAATTTTTTTGTACTTTTAGTACAGACGGGGTTTCACCATATTGATCAGGATGGTTTCGATCTCTCGACCTCGTGATCCACCCGCCTCGGCCTCACAAAGTGCTGGGATTACAGGCGTGAGCCACCGTGCCCGGCCAGTAGAGGGTTTTTTAAAAGGTAGTAAAATTGGCTTGGTTGGTGACTCATGTCTGTAATCCCAGCACTTTGGGAGGCCAAGGCTAGTGAATCACTTGAGGTCAAGCATTCGAGACCAACCTGGCCAACATGATGAAAGCTCATCTCCATAAAAAATAGAAAAAAAAAATTAGCTGGGCATGGTGGCATGCACCTGTAGTCACAGCTACTTGGCAGACTGAGGCAGGAGAATCAGATGAACCCGCGAAGAGGAGGTTTCAATGAGCCAAGATCTCACCACTGCACTCCAGACTGGGCAACAGAGTAAGACTCATTTAAAAAAAAAAGAAAAATTGAAAAGATAGAATTTTAATTGTGTCCATGGAACATTTATGAACACTGACCATATAATAGTCACTAACTACATATCACTATTGAGCACTTGAAATGTGGCTATTCCAAATTGACGTATGCTCTAAGTGTCAGATATATGTTAGATTTTGAAGACTTAACAAGAAAAAAAACATGGAAAATAGTTAAGTCATAATCTTACGTTGAATACATGTTGAAAGGATAGTATTTGGGATATATCTGGTTAAATAAAATGCATTATTAAAATTGATTTCAGTGGTTTCTTTTTGCTGATTTTTAACATGACCACTAAAAAAGTTTCAATTATATGTATGTGGTTTACATTATATTTTTATTGAACAGTTCTGTATTAGACCATCAAGATAACCTATTAAAAATTTTTTTAAATAGTGTCTTCACAAGAAACCTTCTCTTATTATAATCCAAAATAACTGAAAAAAATAAGAGAGAGATGACTACAAAAAATATTAACGATATCAGAATTAGGAAATAGCCTTATAAATAGGTATTGCATCAAAGGAGACATTTTAAAACTGGTATTTAAATTATCTAAAAGCAATGAAAAGAATAGCAATTTTTACCAAAACCTAAGGGACATTGAAAAAGTTTTACTCAGAGCTCTTAATGCTTCACTAAAAAAAAAAAAAAAAAAATCAAATGTAAAGAAATGTAATTTCCTCTAATGAAGTTAGAAAAGCAGCTACAAAATCAACCAAAAGGAACTAGGATGAAATCACTAAGGCAAAAATAAGTTGCAATTAATGAAACAGAAAATGAAACAGTAAAAGAATATGCAAATTCCAGTTATTTCTTTGAGAAGACCAATAAAATAATTCAACGTATCATAAACTTTAAATCAAGGAGAAAGAGAGAGAGCAAAAACAGAAGATTTCAGCTTTGGTCTTGTATATTTGTAGAACAATTTCAAATCTAAGGGTCAACCAAACCAAATAAGGGTGACAAAATCACAAAGGAAATTAATGTAATAGAAATGATAATGGCATGCTTATCACAGATAATACATGATAAAGATTTTGGTGTAAAGGATCTTTCATGCACTCAGTAAATTGCCATGAACATGGCAAAGGTCTCCAGGCAACACACCTTGTCCTGTGGGACTCTTTTAAACTCTAATAATGGTGATGATAGGTCTTCCTCTAAGAGGCCTAAGGTGATCTGTGAAAATTCTTCTTTATTCACTTGATCCAGAAAACCCCACAAAATCATGCAAATCAAGAGCTTTCAGTTTTCCTGTTCGCTTAAAGGACATTTCCTGAAACTACCCAGGCCATCAAGTATACGCACACACAAAGAGCCACCAAGTGTCTGAAAGATGTCCCTTTACTGAAGCAGTGTGGACCATTTTGATGTTGCAGCGGAGGGGCTGGGAAGTGCGCCCAGGGCCGAACAGTGGGGCTGCACACAGGGTCAGTGGCCCAAATAGGGTGCCAGATTTTTGCTGCACATGCTTTAAAATGCAGAGAATAATGTGGAATGTAAGGGTTTGGGTGTAGATTCTCTAAGGGTCAACCAAACCAAATAACTAAGGGTGACAAAAAACAAAGGAAATTAATGTAATAAAATTAAGTCCCAGCACTTAGGCACATTAAGCATATCCAGGTAAACGAAGCATCCAAGATGAGCTATGGGACTTGCAGAGCTCAGTATCGGATTAACCCATACATGACCCCCCAATGCCACATCGAGAAGATCTATACTGACAAGGAACAAATTGTTCCTAACCCTGAGGATGAATTTGCAGAGAAGAAAAAGATATCTCAGAAGAAATTGAAGAATCGCTAGAACCAAGGAGGCGGAGGTTGCAGTGAGCCAAGATGGAGCCACTGCACTCATGCCTGGCAACAGAGCAAGACTCCATCTCAAAATAAATACATAAATATATTATAAATAAATAAATATACATTAAATAAGTAAATTATAAATATATATGTATATAAAGTTTAGTGTCCTTTGCAATAATACCTACACTAATAAAAAGAAGTACAGAAATAAGAATTCAAAGGACCATGAATAAACTCATGGAAGTTTATATAAATTCAGTGAATATGACAAAAAGGGCTCATTCTCTCACAAGAAAGATGGCTCCCTCGCTGGGCGTGGTGGCTTATGCCTGTAATCCCAGCACTTCAGAAGGCCAAGAGGGGCAGATCACATGAGGTCAGGAGTTCAAGACTAGCCTGGCCAACACAGCAAAACTCTGTCTCTACTAAAAAAAAAAAATAGCTAGGAGTGGCGGCACATGTCTGTAGTCCCAGCTACTCAGGAGGCTGAGGCAGGAGACTCTCTTAAACCCAGGAGTTGGAGGCTGCAGTGAGCTGAGATCGGGCCACTGATCTCCAGCCTGGACAACAAAGCGAGAATGCATCTCAAGACAAAAAAAAAAAAAGATGACTCCCTCAGTGACGTGTGAATTTGGTTTCTCAGATCCCAGAGTACTACTTCATCAAAACCCAAATATTCTGAATAATGAAAGCCACCTCTGACATTTTTGGAAAAAGAATAGATCCCACTACAGAAACTTTGAGTGGGATAGGGTGGGTTTGGTGATGTGGTCAGCCCCTCCAGAGAAACCCTTCCCTTCTTGAACACATGTCCATTCATCACTGTCCCCAGCTTCACTGGGCTTGTAGATTCAGTCTTCTCTCCTCCCTAGCCCCTTCTACTCTCTCTTGATGATTTCAGCATTCCAAGTAGAAGACCCGTTTGGCATACAACCATCACCGTGCCTTCCCAACTCTGTGATGTCCCCAAATCATACACCAGATCCCCAATTCCTGGTCAGAAAAACTTTTGTAAGCACAGATCCCTCTCTGGAAACCAGACTCCGTGTGTCATTCTCTAATCACACACATCGATCCCACCTTCATTGCACCACTTCCACTGAACTGAGTCAACCTCTTTGAAGCTTCTACTTTCTGTGAGTGCTTAGGTCTCCTGTGGCCACCTCTCTATCTTTCACAAGAAGGGACCACTAAAAATTATCACGTCGACAATTGTAATTTGCTGTTGCATCATCTTTCCACTGAAAATCACGCAAGCAAAAACCCCAGGATGGAGCAGTTCCCAATGTAGTGTCCCTGCTCCTGCCCAGCTGAAGGACATGCAACAACCATGAAGATGGTGGCTTTACCAAAGAACAGTCTCGGTGAACCACACCAGTCCTTGTTCAACTTTTGACAGACCCTGGTCCCTGCCTCTCCTTCCTCTCAGTGGCCACGGAACACCTGAAATACACTAGACCCCTTAACAATTTATCTCACTGAAGACTATTATGACAATGGGAAGCAGAAATAAAATTTTTGGAAAGATAAGTAGATATGGAAGCACTTGTAAGTAAATACATTTCTTTAAAAGTGTTTTGCCTGGAACATTGATTGCATGAAGGCACCAATACAGACCTGAGATAGTGGCTTCCTGTTGGCACAGTTGACACCCCCAATGAAGACCATGTTGGGCATGATCGGCCTGGGGTAATCCATCACAAAGTCCCCTCTGAACAACCACACAGATGCATGGCTGAGAATGTCCACCACTGACACCTCTCTCTGAAAAAGCTCAGAGGCAAGGCTTGCATAGGGAGCAGAAACAGTATGGCAAATATAGGACAGGGCCAGAGGGTAGAGCATGTTCTTGACCCTCTGCAGGAATGTCATGTGGTCTGAATTCGTTGTTAGGAACTTAGGAACATAGGAGTAAGGATTTGGACACT